CATTTTAAATAAAGTAATTATCGCATTTTTTTAGCATTTTTTGAAAAAAAAAAATAAACGAAGCATATTTTATAAAATTTTTTCGCATATATTAGCATATCTTACTATATAAAGCAGACATAATTTGAGTTTAGCGCAGCAGAAAATGGGCCACCCTAGTCATAGTACGCAGTATTATAGAAATTGAATTATTGTAGCTTTAGAGAGAGGTTAAGTCGCGTTTTTTAAAAAAAGTGACGTGAAAAAAAAAATTTTTTTTTAAAATCATTTAATATTCTAGCTGCTACTGTAAAAAGACCGAAAGTAAGGTGCATTTCTTAAAATTTATTAACACAAAAAAAAAAAAGTCTTGCGTGAAGCACGTTAAGAAATGAAATAATGATAAGATATATTTATACATCGGAATAATAATAATAACAACGAAAGAAAGAGAGAGAGAAATACATTTATTAAATAAACAAACAAAAAGTCCTGATTTTTGTTTTTATTAATAGATGCCATTCTATTTTTCTCGAAAAACAAAAAGGTTAAATTTCTTTTATAAATAATTAATATGTTAGTTCTTCTGAAAATAATTTTTCTGCTACCACATATTGTTCCTCACTTTTTGTTAATCTTTTTACACAAGCCATTGTACTTGGCAAAGTCAAAAATAACCAAGCGCTCACAGGAAGCCAAACGTAATCCATAACATTTCTCCATGTTCTAGTTTCACTGGAACTTTTTTTGAGCAAATCAAGGTCTATTGTCTTATGTAAACCTTCGTATAATACGGCACACATCAGTAAAGGCATAGGTAATAATATACCAACCGCTTGTATAAGGTAAAACATGTAATAGTAAAATGTTGAAGTTTGAATTGGATTCTGAAAATTTGGATAATAATTTGATAGAGGTGAATATGTGGATATGAGTAAAAATTGTGTTAAAGGTATAGCCGCAAACATGATCCATCCTGAGGTTGCAGGAATCATGTGAGCTTCCAAGACGTGAAATACAACAGTAAGTTTATCAGCCAATGAACATGACATGAAAATTTTTTGTCCGGAATAAGATCCCAAAAGTGATTTTGTATCTGGAGAATGCTTGCTAACCCCAAAAGCAGATTTCAATGAATAAGCGACATCGGCAACTCCATTGTAATGACGTTTTGCTTGAACCCAACGCGCGTGTATGTTTGACATATATCCAGTTGTTTGAACATTCGTAAGATTTATAGGAACGTATATTGGAATTGTTCTAGAAACTCCTCCGGTTTTAAAAAAGCATTTCAGCCACATGTGTAAATCTTCACCGACCGCATCCTTGTCGGTGTCCCAGAATCCAACTTGTTCAGCAAGAACCTTTAATCATATCATTATTAGTTAAAAAAATCAAAAAATTTTTTTTTTTTTTTTAAAAAATCATTTTATAAAGAGAAATTTATATTTGAATTGGGAGCTTAAATTTTTTTTTTTTTTTACCATGCTTAAACTATACGTCGAACAAGGGAACGCCAATCCCTTCCGATTACTCAGATTTTGCATCACCATTATGGACCACATGATGTCCGTGACGCGTACTGCGGCTGGTACATTAAGTGCATTTCTCGAGAAAAAGATAGGAGGGGAACAAATTATCGAGTAAGGATCATATGATTCAGCCAAGGCCTTTTCAACGTGACGGATGTAAAGTTCCGGAATAGCAGAATCTGAATCCGTTACGGTGAAAACCACGCGTCTTTTGTCGATCCTTTTACGAACCAACTCATCACATGCGGTTCTAGCAGCATATGCCACATTGCTCCCTTTGCCTCGACTTTCGCCAGGTAAATCCTTTGGATGAATCGTTATGATAAAATCAAGAAAAGATCCATCATAAGTCCTTTTGAGATTATCAGCCTTTATCCGATGATCTACCTCTGACGCTTCCATTGCCAATACGATAACATAATTATCGGTAGCATTTCTTTTGAGATCAATTATATTGAAAAGTATTAGCTCTATCGCGAAAAAAATATTCGTAAAGAATATCCTATCATACCTATGTTGTTCCAATCTTTTAATGGTGTCTCTTAATAATGGTTCGGGTTCCTCATAATTTGGAATGACGAAAGCATGAATGTAATAAGCATCATGTATTTTATCCGCTCTCTCCATTTCATTAGCTCTGTTATCGCAATCGAAATCATCACTCGTAGACACCGACGCATAACCATTTCTTGTCGGCGTTATCCTTCCATTACTGGTTGCAGTACTCTTATTAATTACCTCTTTATAATTACGCGTCGATTGATCTTGTGACACGTTCCAATTTCGAATTGTTCTCTTAATATTTCGCACGGTATGACAAAATTTAAGAAAATGATTCATAGATATGTATAAATATGTTATAAAGTAAATTAACAGGAACCAGATATATGCACGAGGAAAGAATAAAGGTCCAAAGAGAAGGATGAAAATGGCGCTTAAAGCAATTGTTGGAGCGACTAACTCGAAAATATGATGTTGTATTCGTTGAACAGCCATTCTTTTGCTAAACTTGTATTTTATTTGCTATAAGGATGGATATATTAAATATTTTTGAGAATTATTATTATTATTATTATTTTTCGTTTTAATTTAAAAAACTTCTTTTCATAAATGTCAGAAAGAAAAGACCAAAGTTTTTATACTATTAAAAAGAATATAAATTAGAAGCAATTATATTACGATATCATAAGTTATATAGAAAGTTAAGTTAATTCTAACAAACTAATATATGATGCAAAAAAAAAAAAAATGATTATAATGTCAAAATTAATCCAATACTATTTTTGTTCAAATCTCATCCATAAATACGAAAGAAGACAAATTTATGAGAACGAGAAAAAATAAACTACCTATTTGTTCAATATTTTGTTGATTAAAAAAAAAATCTAAAAATTTTGGTAAAGGTTGAATGAAGCATTGAAAGGTCAAAAAAAAAAAAACGAGAAACCGGGAAAAAAAAAATGGTATGAAGATATTAATAGCACAATGTTGTGGAGAGGGGTAATAAATTAAAAAATGGGATTGGAATGTTGAAAATAATTTTTTGTTAAGAAAAAATTTTTTTGATCACTAACACAAAGTAAAAGAGGTAAGTACTAAAAGCCTATGCTTAGTTGAATTTTCTATGATTTTAGCCACAAATCAAGCGATTTTTACGCGGAATAATATAAATTTTTGCTGATTGATTAGATAATATGGCGATAGATTTTTTCATTTATAGAAATTCTGGACCTTTCATGTCATCGTTTTGTCACAAACTAATTAGATCAAGATAAATGGGGGTGATGAATAACATACCAAAAACCTTTCTTTCTTATGTAAAATGTTGCATAATAAGGATTTTGGTATTTAGTTAAAAAAAACGTCGTAAAATCGTTTCGTATTCAAGTTACGATTCAAGTTTATGCCTTATAAAATAGCTTGGCTTTGCTTATCGATTTGGTGTTGCCAGATGGCCGTGTAGGACTTACCCGCTTGGCTTGGGATGATGAATAAATATTTGAGAAAAGATTAAGAGATGGTGTAACTATAATGAGTTTGATTATAAATTATTTGGTAAAATGTTAGAGACGAACCGTTTATTTCTAGTACTTGAATTACGAGATTTAAGGCTGTTTTCTTTTATTTGCATTTTTTCAAATAAATTTGAAATCCCCAAACAAGCACCCGCGTGTCAAATAACGAATGAACAATCTGTAAAACATAAATCGCAAATTATTAATTATTTGGTCATTAGATATTCGTGCGACCTTGTGATGATATAATTTGTAAAAAAAGATGGATCCGATAGATTATGCTGCGTCTGCGGTTTTCTTTTAGTAATCTTGTATTTATATCAAAAGATTTAACCATAGTGGTACTGGTGTCGGCTACATTTCCTTATTTAAATAATTGTAAATTTTTTTCGAATGAAAAAAGTAAATTGAGTGAATTAACTATAAATTATTGTTCAAAGGTTTTATCAGCTTATCTTTTCTCTTTTTATGAAATTATAAAATTTTGCTAGGCTTATGTAACTTGAAAATTGAAGGCTTGACTTGGACATTGTTCCTTGATTTGCAAAATATTTGAACACGTGAAAAAAAATATTTGAATAAATATGGTTTCAAAAAATGCGGACCGTTATATTATATTTTGGAAGAATAAAGTTTTGGATGAAAAATGGCTTTGAAAAACATAATAAATTAATTTGCATAATAAAAAAAGTAACTAGTTTCTAATTATAAAATTTATTAATGAAAAACTTAAACTAACGAGAAAATTCAAAAGATATCTTGACAAAAATTCTCTCATACTTTTAATCACTTATTAACTTCCAACTCTCTTGGTTTACCAGTTTTCAATTGGTACCATTTCAATGAATTTCCTGCCGTACTGACGGCACCTAAACTTGTCATTGCGACATGGAATGCGTCTTTAGTCGCAAAAGCTGAAGGACCAGATGTGGCGAGAAGACCAAGTGACGTCACTAGAAACAATATAATATAATATATATATTTTTTTTTAATTAATAAAACAATTACTCATACGATTGCATTTAAAAAGAATTAAATGAAAGTGACGCGTACAAGTAGCGATGTTATAACCCATATTATGATTTCCTTTATTAATAAGATATCTGAAGTTATAAACGAATCAAAGTAAATATTAATTATTAACAAAAAAAATGAAGTTGCAGTAATTAAACATCAATCGATTTGATTTACCCGGAAGCGGCATATGCTACCGCTATCGCACCAGCTACAGCAGCTGTTTTCGGTTGATTCATATACCGATGAGCATACATGGCTCCTATTCCAGCTATCAAAATCAAAAAGAAAAGGTGTGTTCGAAATTTTGAATATTAAGATTTATATCACACTTGTCGTTAAATGATCTTTGCTTACAGAAGGTAGCCATGAAATAATGAGGATAAGGATCCGAATGGGAACTCAATGTGGCCATTGCCGAGGATGCCTTTTCCCCTGCGGAGGCATTTGGATCAGGATGTTGAGCTGAAGGTAAAGTTGCCTTTACTTCCTTATTATTTATTTGAGGTGTTGGTATATTAGCTTTAATTTCACCCGGTTTAGTGGAATCAGAAGACATTTTATTTAGGAGATTGGGATTATTTCAAAAACAAAAAAAAATAAGAAAAAACTCGATATAAAAAAGTATTTGTTTCCCTTGGGGAAAATAAATGGTTCTTATATTACTTTATGATCATAGTATAGTATGTATGCCTCATTTGACATCATTCTTAATTGATGACATAATTATCACGTGCACAAACAATATTTTTCTTTGACACGCGAAAATTTCTATGAACCCAACCTATAGAGGTTAAAAGACGCATGCTAATGACTTGCACATTATTCAATTGATTAACTATTTTTTTAAAGAGGACTGATAATGTTTATTTATTTTTTAAACCCAACCAGATTTTCTTTTTTTAAAATATTTATTATACAGATAACACAAATTCTTGTTGCTCGTTGACATCCTAATTAAAGAAAATACTCCCAAATTCCTTAATGTCTGATGAAATAATCAAAATAACGTTTAATGGGAATCTACGTATAAATGTCAAAAGGACCGATGATTTTTTGTTTGTTTATGTAATATTGATTCATCATGTGACTGTATGATCTTTTTTATCGCAGGATTTTCTACAACTACGTTACACATACTATACTCAAATCCCATTATTAACTCCCGAATAATATTATTAATTACTATGGAAGACGATCCTATACAGACAGAACAAAAAGGTTCTGATGAGGAACTTGGTGAACCAATTGACGAAGAAAATCGATTTACCTCCTCTTCTGAAGAAGAATCAACTGATTCCGAAGCCGCAAAAGAGGTCGCAGATGGGTTCATTGTTGATGAGGAGGAAGAAGAGGAGGAAGAAGTAGTAGTAAAGGAGAAACGTAAAAAGAAGAAGAAAAAGAGTAAGAAGAGACGACATGAATCTTCAGAAGACGATCTAAGCGAAGATGAACTTGATTTAATCGAAGAAAACACTGGTGTGAAAATAGCTCGTAGTGAGGTGCATTATCTATTTCTTCTTTATTATCGGCACCTTTCATAATATTTCATTATTAATATAAGTTATGAACGTAACATTTTAAAAGCAAAAATTCAAACGCTTGAAGAGAGGAGTAAGGAATCCGTCAAAAGATGTTAAAAATATTTTTGATGAAGATGAAGAAGAAGTTTTGGAAGAAAACGAGGAGGATTTCGTTGTTTATGACGATGGAGAGGACTTCGTCCAAGGCGAAAGACATGCACCAACATTATTCGAAGAAGTATTTAATGATCTTGAAGATAAATATATATTCGCTTATGAAAAAATTGTAAGTCACTTATTTATTGTTTGTCACAAATATTTAGTAAACTTATCTCATTTTAATTAATCTTTTAGGAGGAGCCACCGGATTTTAATATTGAAACATTGGAAAAAGTATTTAGTCCAGAAGCTTATTTAACCCGCAAAGACAAAGAGATAAAAGTGACTGATTTGCCAGAGCGTTTCCAAGTAAGCTTCTTTTAGAGTTTCATTGCTCATTTATATAAAACAATTCTCAATATTTTAACTATATAAATTTAACTAAATTTTATAGCTTCGACCCGAAATCATAGTGAATCGTAAACTTACAAGAGAAGAAATCAATTTAGCAACAGAAAATATAACAAAGTCTATTTCAGGTTATCATGGAATTCGAGCATCGTCACAATTAGCTAAGGCCGTGAAAAATGTCTTAACATGTTTCGGTCAGGATTTTGTAGAAGTTCCATACTTATGGACTTATAGAAAGGATTTGATTGCCAATTATGATGTTGATCCCATATCAACGGTCCTTTCTCGAGCTGATTTATGGTATATTTTTGATCTCGAATATGATTTCAGAATATTTTTGGAAAAAAGGGATCAGATAAATTCAGAAATTTCTAAAAATCATTCCCATGATTCTTACATATGTAAGATATTTTCAGAAGTAAAAGAGATCGATGAACTTTATGATTTGAACATGTACATTAAATTTCAAGAAAGGAAAGGAACTATTAGTGTTCAGAAAGTTTCACCAACTGAGGAGTTGCGCCGTAAGGGTATGGTATCGAAGAACGTAAAATATTTGGAATATATTCATAAAGGTCTCCTCAGGGTAGTTGACAAATTCGGAGTTCAAATTCCTTCATTTGTTAAAAGTCTCATTTCAGAAACGAAACTTCATCAGCCCGTTAATGAAAATTTGACTCCACTGGACATAATACGACAATTCTATCCCGAAGCCAGAGATCCTGAAGAAATATTACAGCAATCCACGGAATTACTTGCCTATGAAATATCACTTGATCCTATGTTTCGGAAATTTGTTCGTAATAACTATATGCGTAATGGACTTTTGATTACTTCGGGCCCATTGAAAGACATACCTAGTAACCATGAATGTTGGTCTTACTGTTTTTGGAATATACCAATCCACAAAGCATTCAATATAGGTGCCGAGTTTGCTCGAATTCTATATCATAATAATCAAAAAATGATAAATTTAACGTTTCAATTACGTGATGAAGAAAAGTTCTTGGAAAAACTCAAACATAATATTGTGAGTGATAATCCAAGACGGTTCGACCTAGAAACTTCTCTAGCTTCAAATAGCCATGTTCAGTGGAATAAATATCGAATAGATGCTGTACATAAAGCTTATAGTGATATTTTACGACCAAATATTGAATCATGGATAATAGCGAAACTTAAAGTAAATGCTGAACAATGTATAATGGAGCAATGTATGCTAAATTTAGAAAGAAAGATTGATGTGAAGCCTTTTAGAACGTCAGAAATGCGTAGAAGTGCAATACCTCGCGTTTTTGCATTATCATTTGGAGCCGGTGGAAGGGAAAATGATACTTGTTGTGTTTACATCAATGAACATGGTAAAAAGATACATGAATGGTTCTGGCCTATGCTCAAGGATTTAAACTCAAGAGAAGGAAATGAATTCCTAGATGCTTTAGACGAATTCAACCCTCAAATTCTCGTCGTACGATGCTATGATTTTAAAACGAAATTTTTACTTCAGACTGTTAAGACTTTTGTACGTTATCACAACGAGAGAATAAATAACTCATCCGATAAAGCAACCGTAACTGTTATTGATGATAAGGTTGCAATAGAATATACCGCTTCGGAAATAGCGAGAAAGGAGTACCCGAAGGCGGTAGAATTATCTCGATATTGTACATCTTTAGCTAGGATGGTACAAAATCCATTAATGGAACATCTTAGGCTTGGCGACAAAATAATGACTATTAATTTTCATCCTCTACAATCATTTTTATCCGAAGAAAAACTAAAGGAAGCGTTAGATCGAGCATTCATTAATGTAGTTAACGAAGTGGGAGTTGATATCAATGATATATTACATGATGAGTTTAATGAGCCAAAACAAAGGGCTTTACATTATATTTGTGGATTCGGACCTCGAAAATCCATCTATTTAAAACAATTAATATTCGGCGAGAATTACAAACCACAGTTTGAACCATTTATCGATAGTCGATCTATGTTGAAAGATATTCTATCCGAGCCAAAAGTCTTCCAAAATTGTGCTGGATTTCTAAGGATACGTCCCGATCCTAATGACCCATTAGATGACAGTCGTATGGAATCATTTGACGACAGTCGTATCCATCCTGATCATTATGATTTGGCACGCAAATACTCTAGAAATACTCCCGATATGAATGAAGCAATTTCTAATCATAGGTATTTCTTAATGCAGTTGATCAAAAAAGAAAATAGAAACCCTTTTGGTGATAGGCGACGGGAATACGAATTGCCAACAGTTGATCAAGTTTTCGAAATGGTTACTAAAGAAACAAAGGATAGTTTATATGCAAGTCTCATTGTACCTGTAGTTGTCAGGTCTGTTACAACTGGTGCTTTAAGAGTTCGTCTTAGAAACTCGGGGTTCGAATGTAACATTGGATGGACTTATATAGATAAGAACGTAAATAATATTGAAGAAGGTGATACATTCGACGCTTTAGTGAAGTCAATAAATAAGGAAGATTTTACTATCATACTGAGTTGTAAATCACGGGACTTGGAAACAGGACATCATCGATCCTTCCGTAACGACAAATTTGAAGATTTCATTGACAGAGAAGCCAAAGAGAATTATCAAGCTCCAGTAAAAGGTATGTTTCTCCTAAAATCTCGTTATTTTTTTTTAACGAGCTAATATAAATATAAATATATATATGATTTTACTTCCTAGTTAAGAAAATCAGTCAATATGTTTCAAAACCTAAGCCGAAGCCACCACGACACATTTCTCATTCTTGCTTTGAAAGAGTATCTGCTGCTGAAGCCGAAGAAAAGTTATCTACGCAACCAAATGGATTCTACATTATTCGACCAAAGACTGATAACCCAGATAAACTTTCAATAACTTGGAAGATTTATGATAACGTTTTTCGCCATTTCGGTAATTTAATATAATTTACCTCCACATTTCTTCTTTTTTTTTTAAAAAAAAAATTCTGACATTATATTTATACTTTAACAGATATTATTGAAATTGGATTGGAACCTGGTCAAGAAGTTGGTCGCAGATTATTTGTGGAAGGTGAACAAAAGGAGTATGAAGCCTTGGAAGAATTATTAGTCACGTATATTGATGATACAAATGATTTTATTGATAAGATGATAAGTCATCAAAAGTTTAGACCTACAGAGCGACAATTGGATGAATATTTGGAGATTTGCCTTCGAAATAATCCGAAATATACTGCATATGGATTTTACATGGATAGTGCAAACCCTGGTTGTTTTATTTACGGATATAAGTTTAGACCAGGAGCTCAAATGTCGAAGATGGTATGTATTCTTTATTATTATTTGGGATTGTCCTCTCAAATATCATGGAATTTAATCCTGTAATTAATTTTTATAATAGCGAGGAATATTCAGACCTTATGGCCTTCGTGTGGAAGAATTCCGTTTCAACAGTCTCGATGAACTCGTGAGCGGAATGAAACAAAAAATCTATGAACGATACACTCGCAAACGCTAATTCCATTATTTATTGTTTATCTGTTGTCGATGATTTTTTTTTTTTAAAAAAAAAAAAATTGCTTGGAAAAAAAAAAAGAGAAAAAAAAAATTTTAGAAAAAGGACTTTTAGTGATAGAACGGGAAAAAAAAAATGTATTACAGCAGTGGATAATAAGAATCCAATAAATTAAATAATTTCCGTATAAATGGCGTTCTGATAGTTTAGTTATTTTTGTCAAATTTTTCAGAATAATTAACATGGTTATTCTAATTCTCTATTTGAAACTGATAAGATTGAAAGATCCAAAAATTTAAAAAACCATCCATCGAATCATTCATTACAGTGAAAATTTGAAAATGGTCAGCACACTCATCATCAGACAATTTTGAAAGTGATATATATATCAAACGCCAATTTTGATTAAAAGTAGCTCCACAAATCAAAAAAAAAACGCGGTTGAAGGTTTTGCGCGGTGAGGTTGTTGAAGGTTGGTGGTCAACAGAAAGGTGGTCCATCACATCAATCCATCAATTATGGGAGGGAAACCGTTTGTTCAAATTTTAAAGATCTGCATTGATTTACGCGGAACAAGATTTTTATGACGTGAATTATGACAAAATGATGTATAAGCTTGCTTTTATGTATGTTAAAAACTGAGCATCAAATTAGATGATTCACAAAAATAAGAATTAATCAAACGTTTAGTTTGGCTCGTTGATACATAAACATTTTTTTACGATTAACTTCATGATCAATTAACTTTAACTAATAAATTCTTCATTGATACCAATACTTTTCGTTTATCAACTTAATTAAAGGACACTCGAGCTTATTGCACAAATAGACTTAAATCTCAAAATTTTAACTTAGATATTACAAAAATTTTACAATTAATATTAATGTATCATTGTCTCCTCTTTACTAATTCCTTTCCTTCATCTTATCAATCTTATAAATCAATATTCTTTTCTTTAGCCCTTTTTAAAACCAATTCAACGATCTTATCAACTTGTTCCGTCACGCTCATGTGACTAGAATCTAAGAATAAAGCATCATTGGCCTTTTTTAAAGGAGATATTTTTCTTTCATAATCACTTTTATCCCTTTTTTCCAAATCTTCTAATACTTTATTAAAATCTATTATCTGCGAAATTCTCTTGGAATACGATTGCTGTTGAAGTTCTTTAAAGCGACGAGTTGCACGAACTTTTGCTGAAGCTGTTACAAAAATCTTTAGGTCGGCATTTGGAAGAATTACGGTACCAACATCCCTACCATCCATAACTGTTCCTTTAGGGGATTTCTTTATTAAAGGTGTAGGAGAAAATTTGTTTTGATTTTCGTCGTAAATACCACTAGCTAAAGCGCGTTGTTTCTCTACTAACACTTTCCGAACATCCAGATTTGATGCTATGCCAGATACATTATTCGTTATCTCCGGTGATCTAATTTCATACGTTACGTCTTCTCCATTTAAGTATACTAATGTTTGTGGTAATGATGATGTTATAGAAGAGGAAGGTATAGAGTGAGTGAGTGGTAAGGGAGGTGGATCAAATGTTGTGTGAAGGTGAATATGAGAAGTAGCAGCTAATTGCGCTATTTTTGAAACATCTTCAAGTAAGGTTGGTGATAAGTTTTGACGAAGTGCTGCTAGCGTTACCTGGACAACCAACAAAAGTGAGAATGAAAGACAATTGAAGAAAGGAAGTAATATGCAAATCAAAGATAAAGAAATAAATAACAAAATCACATTACCGCTCGATACATGGCCCCTATTTTTTAAATATTTAAAATTCGAATTCGAATTAAATTACATAAATGAATTACAAATGTCATATTCATAATAAAATCACCTGAATCTATATATTCAAAATTTAATTGTTGGGCCGCCATTCTAGCAGTTGAACCTAATAAAAAGGAAACTTTTTTTTTAAAAAAAAAAAAATTCACCTTCAATGAGAGTACAAGTTATGATTTACTTTTTCCTGAAGCAGCTGGACCATCAATTGCGAGTTGAAATAAATTTCTGTAAAAAACTTTATCAAATTTTTTAGTTAAATTATTACTTTTAGCAAAATTAAAAATCATGATTTTAAAAAAAAAAATTTTTGGCAAGAGGATTTGTTCAAATTGGGCATGATTATCCAACTATAAAAAATTCTCCGATAGTTTCACTAATATGGAAACATAAAAAGTTAAATTATCAGCCTAAAAAATCGTTTTTGGCATATAAAAGCAAAATTGATTTTTCCCGGCAGTTTCTCCCTTTTCTATTGCATATATTCCTTCGTTTGGGATTTTTTTTTAGGTAGATGAACGACGGTTTTTACTATTATTACTCGTTTTTTTTTGTTGAATATGTCTCCATTACGGTTATTACTTGCAAAAAAATTCCAACATATGCCATATCTCCTCGTCTGATTTTATTACAGGTTCTAAAGATTTTAGAGTTATCGGTGTTACTAATCTACTCGATTTCAATGTAGAGTAGGTAATCTTTAGAGTAGCCAATTCGTAAATAATAAATTACAGTGGCTGCCAAATGTTTTGCATCATCTTAAAAAAAAAAAATAAAAAAGACGATATTTCATAAATTTGTATATTATAATTACGCAAAAATTAATTTTTTAATAAACACATGACTTTGGATCATGGGTTGTTAAGGATTCTTTGTTAAGTGATTTCCAAAAATGGCGATGCATTTCTTGATTGTTTTGTTCTTTAAAAAAAAATCAATTATAACGTTCCAATTTTTTCCTTTAACAATGTTAATAATAATAACAAACATCGCGAATTTAAATATAATGGAGAACTCCAAAATATTTACGCTGCGTAAGTTTTGAATACTTACGAGTCCTACAAAAGGTTATGTAACATGGCTCTTTGAAAGTTTACGTATCATAATATTGAATATTTTACAAAACGTAATTCTTTGCGTAGCATAATGCTTCGAAATAATATACTAATAGGGCGTAATCGTAATATTGCGTAAATTTACATTCGGTAATATTACGAAAACTTGCGAGCCTGTCATAAGATTATATATGTTGCCTTATAATATTCTGTAACATTACGGTGTAATATTCTTAAATTCGTTTATAATATTTCATAATTTTTTGATAAAATTTGTAAATTTACTGATATATTTAAATTATTTATATACAAATTATGCTTTATTTAAAACAATTTGATAATGAATTACAAATAATATAAAGTTAAATTATAAGAAAATATTACAAAAAAGAGGTTACAGTAGGATATACCATTATAAATCTTTCATAGCAATAAAGTTAAAATTTTGTTTAAAATGTTGTTAAGAATTTTCTAAAAAAAATGATCAGATAATAAAGAAAATAAATATTAAATATTTGATGTTCAAAAAATTCGCATGAAAGTAAAAAAAAAAAAACAATTAGTATAATAGAAAAGTAAAAAAGAAACAGTTAGTAAATTAGAAAAATCAAAAGAGAGACAGTTAGTAGAAAAACAAAAGAGAGAAAATTAGTAAAGAAGCAAAGAATAGAAAAAAAAAAGTAAGAAAATTAGTAGAAAAGCAATAGTAGAAAAGAAAAGGGAAACAGTTAGTAGAAAAGTAAAAAGATACTATTATTATTGTTAATATTAATATTAAGATAAAGGGTTTTCATATCAATAACTTTTATCAAAAATTAAAAAATTTTTTTTTGTTTATTCTTTTTTATCATATAATCAAACAAATTTTTAATTGGTTAATTTATAAAGTCTGAAATACAACTACTTATGAAAAAATATACATTTTAATAAAAATGACAATAAAATATTTACATAAGAAATTTTTTGGAAGAACAAAAACATAAATAGTTTATTTTATTCTATTTTTTATTTTAATCTGTAGTGACTGAAAAGGGCTTATACAGCCTAATAAATTTATGATTCACACTATAGCTAATATATAGGCCATTTTGAGAGATCTGGGACAGATTTCGATGAATGTTCACTTTGTACTCAATCCCTTCTACAAGTTCAGTTTGCTATATATTTCATTTCTATTTATTCAAACTTCTAGCGTCTTTTGACTCATTTCTAGATGATGTTATCGAACTTGGCTAGGAATTAGCCTATCTGATACCAAGAATTATACTGTTTGATATAACCATTCTAGCCTGATATTAATCCCAAATAATATATCAAAAATTTTTTACTATTCTGTTTGCCTCAGGAGGGCCTAGCGAACAAAGTGACGCGATTTGAGCTAGACCCGACCATGCAAACCTAAAATGCATACCATATTCTAAGTCTTACCTTTAAATCTCACCTCTAAGTCACACCTTTTATCAAGTCTCACCGATAAATTTTTTGCATACATTAAAATCAAATTGTCTCCCAATAGCATACTGTTTAGGTAGCAAGAGAGAACAAACATAAGGAGGAGCAGAGTGACGATGAATACGCGTTCGATATAGGAAAATAAGTATGAGCTGGCAAAGCCCTTTAGGGTGATGCCAGTAAATACATATTCAACAGGAGAAATGATATAGCAGGAATATGAGCGAGCCCTTTAGGGCGAAGCAAATATGGATGCTATATCGTTTTGACCATATGCTACCATATTCTTATGTATGCTATATATAAGGCAAATATGAGTGGTAATAAGTGAGCAAATGGTAAGCAAATCGCCTTCTAATAGCATACTGCATAGGTAGCAAGAGAGAACAAGTATGAGGAGGAGTGGAGTGATGATGAATATGCGTTTGATATAGGAGAATAAGTATGAGTTGGCAAAGCCCTTTAGGGCTATGCCAGTAAATACGCATTCGACAGGAGAAACGATATAGCTGGAATATGAGCGAGCCCTTTAGGGCGAAGCGAATATAGATGTTATATTATTTCAATCATATGCTACTATATTTTAATGTATACTATATATGAGGCAAATATGAGTGGTAATAAGTGAGCAAATGGTAAGCAAATCGCCTTCTAATAGTATACTGCATAGGTAGCAAGAGAGAACAAGTATGAGGAGGAGCGGAGTGATGATAATATGCGTTTAATATAGGAGAATAAGTATGAGCTGGCAAAGCCCTTTAGGGTGATGTCAGTAAATACACATTCGACAGGAAAAATGATATAGCAGGAATATGAGCGAGCCCTTTAGGGTGAAGCGAATATGGATGCTATATCATTTCGATTATATGCTACCATATTCTTATGTATGCTATATATGAGGCAAATATGGGTGATAATAAGTGGGCGGAAAAAATCAATATACAGAAAACCTTTCAAACTCATTTTTCTTGCCAAAATTTCAGCGTTCTTAGCTTATCCAAAATCATGTGAACCTAGCGTGGTTGAGCGATAAGACGCTCAGTGCATATTATATTCTAAGTCATACCTTTTATCAAGTCTAATCTCTGAGTCTTATCCCGCAATTTATTATAATATTGCATCACATAATATCTTCTAATATGTTCAGCACACCATCCACAAGCTGTAGCAGTAGGCTTACCACATTCAGAGTATGGTCAGCGTTTCCTAGTTTTAAAATGCAGTCAGCATCCCTCAGAACAAGTGCAGGCTTTACCACAAGACTTGCCAGAGTTATGAAGATAGTCGCAAGTATAAGATGCCATCATTTACAATAGGGATGAAAAAATTTAATTAAACAAAATTATCTGCAATATAGAAAAGTGAACGGCAGATATACCCAAAGAGGTAATTATTTTATTTAAACAAAAGTTTACATAATAATTAATAGGTAAGACTAATTAATATTATGCCTAGAAGTGATAAGAAAAATTCTACTTATAAAGATTGCGATTATAAATTTACAAGACCTGCTAAACTTCGTCAACATTATAAAAGTAATAAAAATCAATGCAGACCAGATCCTGAAATTATTACTCAAGAGATACAAGCTTCAACTCCTAAGAATTCTAGTCGAAAGGAAACTACTTCTTTATCTATAGAAATTTAATCAACTGGCTAGCAAATCCTAAGATAAAAAATAACCAAGCATCATTAGTAAAAAAATTCCAAAAACAGATGCAGAATGGTTTGATCTAATGGAAAATTCTTCAAGTAAAAGTACTTCTGGAACTAGATCATGAAAGAAAACCAAAGTTTCCTAACCAGAAGAGGATCCTGAAGCTAGACCTGGTCCAGCAACCCAAGCACATAAAAAGAGAGAATCTAATGAGGTTGTGTGATAAGATACTCAGAAAGATATTCACTTTGAAGAATGTTCAGTTGGAAGGGATCTAGATAAAAATCAATCTTTAATGAGCAAATGGGTAGGCAAAGTTCCCTATCCTGATGACAATCCCAAATATGCTTTTATTCAACTAATAGCTGATCCTATATAATATAAAGAAATTCCATACATACCTCAACTTATAGGACTAATTCGTATGAAAATAACAGAAGTTCTTCAAACAGAGTTTCGTAGAAAAGACCAAATAAAATTAGCTATAGTAGCATTGTGTTTGTATTCGATTACTAAAAGAGATCGAGATGGTACAAGTCATATATCATTTGTATATAATCATGAAAAAGGGAAGATGCGATATTTGCTTTTAACAAATGATATAGATGAGCATATAACTAAATCAGCTAGAAAAATAGATAAGCAAATTAAAGATACATTAAAAAAGGATCTGGATATGTTCTTGAGTGAATTCTTAAAATATCTATTGAGGTATATAAATGCCAACGAGTCACAGGAGGATCTTATATTTCTATTCCAAAGAAGCTAATCAATAGAAAGTATACTATCAATCCTAATAATCATGTTCTTATAGATCCAGAAACAAATAGACCTTCTGAAAAGTGTCTTAAAAGTGCATTAGGTATATACTTCGCTCATCAGGATGGACATACAGATAATCTTGAAAGAATCTTTTGTGCTACTAAATATAAACCATATTTAGATGTAGTTAAGCTAGATGGAATTCCAATGCCCACTCCCATCTGCTCACGT